TCCAATTTGGATGCCCTTGATCTCCTTTTGTTGTCTTATAGCATTAGCTAGAACTTCTAGTACGATATTGAAGAGATATGGAGAGAGAGGACAGCCTTGTCTTGTTCCTGATTTTAGAGGAATTGGCTTAAGTTTCTCTCCATTCAGTTTGATGTTGGCAGTTGGTTTGCTGTATATTGCTCTTATTATGTTTAGATATGTTCCTGTTATCCCTGACCTCTCTAATACCTTTATCAAGAAAGGGTGATGAATTTTGTCAAAGGCTTTTTCCGCATCTAGGGAGATAATCCTATGGTTTTTCTTTTTCTGTTTGTTTATATGGTGGATCACGTTGATAGATTTTCGTATGTTAAACCATCCCTGCAATCCGGGTATGAAGCCTACTTGATCATGGTGGATGATTTCTCTGATGTATTCTTGAATTCGGTTTGCCAGTATTTTATTGAGTATTTTTGCATCGATGTTCATCAGGGATATTGGTTTGTAGTTTTCTTTCTTAGTTGTGTCTTTGTGAGGTTTGGGTACCAAAGTTATTGTGGCCTCATAAAAAGAGTTTGGCAATAAACCTTCTGTTTCTATCTTGTGGAACAGTTTGAGGAGTAGTGGTATTAGTTCTTCCTTGAATGTCTGGTAGAATTCTGCACTGAATCCATCTGGCCCTGGACTTTTTTTCGTTGGAAGGCTTTCGATGACTGCTTCTATTTCATTTCGGGTTATAGGTCTATTTAAGTTGTTTGTCTGTTCTTGATTTAATTTTGGTAAGTGATAGTTATCCAGAAACTTGTCCATTTCCTTTGAATTTTCAATTTTTGTGGAATACAGATTTTCAAAGTATGACCTGAAAATTGTCTGGATTTCCTCTGTGTCTGTTGTTATGTTCCCCATTTCGTTTCTGATTTTGTTAATTTGCATGTTCTGTCTCTGCTTTTTCGTTAATTTGGATAAAGGTTTGTCTATCTTGTTGATTTTCTCAAAAAACCAACTCTTTGTTGCATTGATTTTTTGTATTGTTTTCCTGGTTTGTATTTTGTTGATTTCAGCCCTCAAGTTGATTATTTCCTGGCGTCTACTCCTGCGTAACCCTGCATTTTTTACAGACATTTTCATTTAACAAATCTCAGATATCCTACTGCTATTGTTGTTTCTTATTGGACGAAGCATGTTTGGCGAGTTCCTGTTTGCTCACATGTAGCTTCCCCCCACCCAGTTTATTGTTAAAATCTTCCCTGAGATGAAGATTTCTGGGTTTCTGTTTGTGTTGTGTTGATTTTTTTTTTTTTTTAAATTCAGGGCCTCATTTTATAGCCCTGGCTAGTCTGAAACTCACTATGTAGACCAATGCTGGGCTTGGACCACAGATATTCTTGCTTCTGCCTCCATAGTTCTAGGACTCCAGGTCTGTACAACACCTCTGGTACCTTTGAGACAAGGTCTTGGTCTGTAGCTCAGATTACCCTGGAACCTGAAATTCTGCCTCTGCCACCTCCTTGATTTGGGGTATGTCCTTCCCGTGAAGAACACAGTTGCTCCCTCCCTCACGCTCTGCCAGATGTTACAGTGAGGGCTAGTGAGGTGGCTCACACCGAGTGTGATTCCTGGAACCCACGTGGTGGCAGAAGAGGAGTGTCTGACTACCATAAGCTGTCCTTAGACCTGGTGACATGCACCCCTTATCCCCCCCCACCACACTAATAATAAATGTCAAAAGTTATGAGAAAGTCTGGCTTTTTACCCATATATAAACTTTACCATTATGTATAAATGTATAAATTCTAGAGAGTAAAATTGACACCCTGTGATATCTTTCCCAAATTATGAGTTAACTTGATGTAGTCTACAGGTCATTTTTTCACCACACACAGTTAGTTCTATGTGCTCTTTCTCTGTCATTCCCCCCTCCCCCCCATCCCACAAGGAGTCTGGCTATAAGGTAATGGTAGCTGTGGGATTATCCTCACTGCCTGGTATGAGTTAGATTACTGTCACTGGTGGTTTGTTTTACTGTGTATGTTGTTTATACTAAATAGCAAACATTCTACCAGGCCTAAAGTTGAGATGAGAAAAGTACACCTATGACCCTTATGGAGCTTAGCATTGAGTATGGAATATCTGATGTTGACATGTGGGCCAGGATGCCCATAGGATCATATGTGGGCTGCAGCTGGATGCAGGGGACCAGAGACTGCAGGGAAGTCTTTCTAAGGGCTAGATTTGAGTTGAGCTTCATGGGGTGGGTGGGGGTTGCTAGTTGGACCGGAGGAGAAAGTACACTTCAGGTAGGCAGAGGAAGCAACTGGAGGCTGGTGGCTTAAGGTCAGAGAGGCTGTCAGTGAAGGACTGGCAGGCAAGGTATTAAAGGGTCAGGTGTGGAACCAGAATGCTGAGCCCAAACTCCCAAGACCCTGGACAACCTCTTCCCTGCTTTACATCGTGTCTTCGCTGTTGACTCATAATTATACCAGACAATACAGGGAAAGCCCAGTACATACTAAGTGATGCTTGCAGGAAATGAGATAGTCCAGAGTGATTTTAGCCCTGATTGTAACTGTTGTCATGTGACTGTTTCCTTTTAAATGGGTTCTTTCTCACCGTGTAGTTCTGACTAGCCTTGACCTTGTAGTCCTCCCGGACTGGGGATATAGGCCTGTGCTACCACACTCAGCTACCACACTGGGGAGTTGCAACCCCAGACCTTGAGATATAATTGCAAGCGCTTATTCTGGAGCAAACCCTGAATGAGAATGCCCCAGTCGTGTCCAGATCCCTGGGGGCGGAGCTGTGTAATGAGCTTGTATCATGCTTTCACTCTGCTTCTCACTCCTTTAGTCCATCTGAAAGGGTTTGAAATCTTAAAAGGTCTAGGCATGCTAGATTATACCTGTAATCCCGGGTCGCAGGAGGCTGAGGCAGGGGAATTATTTTGAATTCAAGGCCAACCTGAGCTACATGGTAGGTTCCAGGCCAGCCTGAGATACAGAGTGTCTCATGAAAACAAAATAGGGGTGTGTGGTGGTGCCCTCCTGAACCTCAGCTCTGGAAGGTGAATGAGTTCAAGGCCTGCCTGGTATACATGAACAAAACAAAACAAAACCCAGAATAGATAAGATGAAAACAATTACTTAAAACAGACTACCCATCTGAGAGGCTGAACTCTTAGGGACTGGGTAGCTGCATTGTTCTGTGTCATAAGCCCTGTAGGGCTGCTGGGTAGACATGTTATTCATAGCAAAGGTAAACTGGCCCCACAACCCCTGCCCTCTATGCTCACTTTCAGCAAGATTTATAAGGTTTCCACTATATTTAGCTTCTAATATGGCTTGAAAGACAGCACAGTTTACAATAACAGGGTCAAAGATGCAGGTCTTATAAGCCCAGGCACTCTGCCCACTTGCCCATGCTTGCCCATGCTTGCCCATGCTTCCCATGTTCAGAAGATCCCAAAGATACAAGTCGTAGCTTTCTACTTGAATAGGTTCTGCTTGCTAAAAGAACGAAAGCTTGATTACTTACTAATATCTCGGAGAGCAGACTGCAGTCTTGGTCTCAGACTGCACTGGAACTGGCTAGCTTGGGACTTACTTTGTAGCCAACATTGGTCTTGAACCTATTATTCTCCTGCTTTGGACTCTGGAGTGCTGGGGTGACAGGTGTGTGTCACTGTGCCTGGCTTCAGCCCTTTGCTTCTAAGCAACACACTATCTGAATAAGTGTCAAAAATTATAGTTTGTCCCAGATAGTAACATGATCCTGAAATATCCAGAATTAAGCTGCCATTCTTCCTGTCCACTTCATCATTGAACAGAAAAAATCTGTACGACTCTGCTAAAACTCCATTCTTCTGTGCCAAGGGTTAATTTACTTGATTTGTTAAAAAGACTAAGAGTCCAGGTTAGAAGTTCTTTGTTTCAAGGCATTTTAATGCCAGATTTATATTCTCCCAACTTGTTATTTTTCCCTTCTCTTTGTGGATGAGATAAATTGCCCCATCCTCATTTCTGTTTAATTTTTATAGAATAGAAAATGTATAACATTGCTAAGAGTCAGACCAGGATGAATGAAGAGGTATTTAGGGAGACACAGGTGTAACTGTGTGTCTTGATGCATTCCTGTAACAGCTACACAGGAGGCTGAGGCAGGAGGATCATTTGAGTTTAGGAGTTCAAGTGCAGTCTGGGAAACATAGCAAGGCCAACCCCCTCCCCAGAATCATTAAATAAGGGATGGGACGGGAGGTGTGACTTAGGGGTTTAGACCATTTGCTACCTTTGCAGAGACCTGGGTTCTGGTCCCAACACTTACACTGGGTGTCTTAACCTTGTAACTCCAGTTTTAGGAGATCTGATGCCCTCTTCTGGCCTCTGTGGGTATCTGCATGTGTGTAGTACATGTAAAGTCATGCAGACACATACACACACATACACACACTTAAGTAGTAAATAATTTTTTAAAATCAGTAAATAGAGGTTAGTTTCTTCTCTTGTGTAGATCACATTGCTTTCTCTTCATGTCCTTGGATTGGTGTGTAAGATTTAAAAACTGGCACCAGTGTCATCTTGTTCATAAGCAAACACTGTATCTGTGGTCAAAGTGCTTGACAGAGGACTCAGCTGCAGCCCAAGTCATTCTTTGGTCCAAGCAGCAGGAAGCACTATGGAAGCAAGCTCTTTTTAAAGGAAATGAAGACTTATTTATTTATGTATTTTATGTATGTGGCAGTTTTGTGTGCATGCATGTACCCCAGAATAGGGCATTGGATCCTGTAGGACTACAGTTATAGTTATGAGCCACCACTTTTAAGTGCTGGGAATTGAACTCAGGACCTTTGGAAGAGCAGCCAGAGCTCTGAACTGTTAAGCCATCTCTCTAGCCTCTGATAGTGAGCTCTTAAGCCTCCTAAAAATTTGACTTAATAATTTATTTGATTTTTAATCTTAATGTTTTTGTTCAAAGAAACTAAAGTTTTTAAGGCTAATTAATTATGCTTTTTCACTTTCATACAGAAAACATCGCCCACAAAGGTCTGTAGGTAAGTTAAAACACCCGAGGATGTAAGGCTCGTCCTAATTTTAACTCAGCTAGTGAACTGTTGAAGGGAGAATTTATTATGAACAGTCATATATTTGTGCTTTTTAAATTTTTTTTAAATTATTCACCTCTATTTTGCAGTATTTTCCTTTTTGGAGACAGGGTTTCTCTGGGTAGTCCAAGCTGGCCTCAAACTCACAGAGATCCACCTTCCTCTACCTACCAAGTGCTGGGATTAAAGGGTGCAATATTTTCTTCTGAAAGGAAAAACTAACCCGTATTATATTTCTACACTGAGTACACAAAACTTCATTAATTGTGCAATAAGTGATGGAGAACCAAACGAAAATAGCAGAGTGGATCATTCCTGAGTGCACATGTGTGTGCATCCCTTCACACACAAGTCTGTGTGTGCATACACTTACATTTAAAATAATTTGCATCATTGGGTGTCTTATTGGGTTTCTGTTGCTGCAACAAAACATCATGTGACCAGAAAGCAAGTTAGGAGGAGATGGTGTATTCATCTTACTCTTCCATATCGCAGTTCATCCAAAGGAGGTCAGGACAGGAGCTTAAGCAGACAGGAATCTGGAGGCAGGAGCTGATGCAGGGCCTATCAGGAGTGCTACTTACTGGCTTGCTTCCCATGGCTTGCTCAGCCTGCTTTCTTATAGAATCCAAGACCACCGGCCCAAAGATGGCAGTACCCATAATGGGCTGGGCTCTCCTTACCAAATGCCTCAGGAGCACTCAGGAGACAGAGGCAGGTGGATTTATAGAGTTCCAGGATAGTCAGGGCTGTTACACAGAGAAACCCTGTCTCAAAAAGATAAAAAAGCTTTACAGCTGGATCTTATGGAGACATTCTCACATTCTCAACTGGGGTGAGGTTCCCTCCTTTCAGATAAAGTTAACATTAACCTGGGTAGCACATTGGGTCTCTATGATTTTCTATGATAGGGTCTGAATTGTGGTCCAGGGCTGTGATCATAAATGAGATTAAAAATTCCATGCCTCAGGTCCTTAGCAGAGTATGTCCCAAGTCTTTGTACCTTCATGTCCTCGTTCTAACAGTGTCCTGTGGCTTGGACTGCCCCTCCCTCAGCAATGACTAAGAAGCCCCATGCTGAAGGCAGGATACCAATGGAGTTGTACATAAAATAAAAACAATTTTTAAAAAGTATTTTTTAAAAAAGATTAAGCAAAAAGCTTACAGTAAATCCCTACATTTACCTATTTCTACCTTTTTTATTTTTTCTCTTTCTCCATTCTCATTTTATATATGTATGCATATGTATATGCATATATATGTATATATATATATGCCCATGTGTATAAATATAACAGTGTATGTAAGAATATATATTTCATTACTCATATTTTTCTAATCCACTTGAGAATAAGTTGCAAAGACCATAACCCTGTTCTTAAATACTCTAGTGTCAGCCACCCCTGCCCTAACCAGTTACATTAGAAGACTGGCATCGATAAGATGCTCTCGTCTGACACTGAGTCCATGTTTAAATTACCATTTTATCTTTTATAACAATTTTCCCACCAGAATGGTATGTGTCATTCTTATCCTTTAATCTTGGTCAGTTCTTCAACCTTCTCTGTATCTCTTTTTTTTTTTTAACTTGCTTTTCTATTAAGTTTTAAAAACTATAATTATTTATTATGATGTGATGTGTGTGTGTGTGTGTGTGTTGTGTGCACATGTGCTTGTGCCCTGTCATATGTGATGTGTGGAGGTCAAAGAACAACTTACTAGGTTTAGTTCTTTTCTTCTAACTCAAGTCATCAGGCTTGGTGACAAATGCCTTTACCTCCTCAGCCAGCCTGGTCTCATGTTTGTGAAAGTCTGGACCTGTTGTTTGGGTTTGTTGTATTATTTCCTCATGACTCAATTCAAAGCACATAAGAAAGAGATACCAGAGGCTCCGTTCTGTGTCCTGAGTGTGTCTTACCAAGAAGCACATGACAGATACGCCCTGTTATTAGCGATGACATTGAGATCAGTTGTTTAGACAAGGTGGTGGTGAACAAGGCCAGGGACATAATGTACTTTCCATGCTGAATTAATCTAGTGATTGACATGGTTGTGATCTGATCTCCCAGCTTGCCTCTTTCATATCTGGGGGGATTGATAGTGAACAGGAACACTCTAGTTTTCAGGTACTCTGTAAATCCTGGGTTTAGGAACAAGCTAGCTGAGCCACAGAGAAGGAAATACCTGCTTGTCAGCAGAGCACATGACTGAGATGTAGGTAGTAGGACTAGAAGGATGGTCAGGGCAGGGGTGGTCATACAGTCTCTTGGCCACTTGCAGATTCCTCTGTGTGTGTGTGTGTGTGTGTGTGTGTGTGTGTGTTCATCCATGCCACACTCTCTGGGACGTGTTTTGATGTGGAAAGATGAAGCTGTCCGTTTTGTCTGCCTGTCCACAGTGCCCTCTTCCTCGTGGCTGCTGCATTGTGCCTTCCCTTTCAGGATGCGCAGGTACGTCCAGTGAAAAGGTACTGTCAAACACTCTTGTTTCCATGGCTTTCTTGTAGAACCACAATATCCTGGCCTAGCAAAGATGTTCAAAAAGCTATCAAACTGGCGGTGTTGTGGCCCAGCCTATCATTTCTCCAGGCCTCAAACAGTGGCTTCTGGAGGCCTGCTGTCTGACCTGCCTCAGGAACCTATGGTCCCAAACCTAATATCAGCCCAGCTTTGGGCACTCAATCAAAGCTGATTTTCCTTCTCATCCTAAGACAGCTTCTTCTGCAGGGTGTTTTTCACTGGCATTCTGTGCCCAACTGATGAGGATTTAGGGGCCCATCTCATCATCTCATTGCTAGATTTTTCTTTCTTACTTACCTTTTTTTTCTTTCTCCCTGGGTATTCTACCAAATGTCAGGCACTGTGCTTGGATACAAGAATACAGTCAGATATTGCAGCAGATATTGAAGGCCATGTAGAACAAGGGAGAGGGAGCAGGCCTAGGCAACAGATCATTGTAACACACACGGGAGGCCAAGCTGGAAAGCACCTGACTGTAGCTCACAGCTAGGGGTCTTGCCGTATGGCGGGCTCTGTGCCAGTGATTTATGTGCTATTTTATGCTTTATTTTAGAGTCCATAACACAGACTAGGGAAATGGATCATTGGTTAAGTACTTGGCCAGAGTTTGGATTTCCAGTGCCCAAGTTTGCTTGTTTGGTTTTTTCTTTTTGTTGTTGTTTTGTTTTAAAGCTGGGCATGGTGGCACAAGCCCATAATCCCAGTGCAGGGAGAATCTCAGGGACTTCTACTCAACGAACTTCAGGTTTAATTCAAGACCCTGTCTCAAAAATAAGTTGGGCCTCCACATACAGGTGCAGTCATAAGTACCCACATACAAAACATAACAAAAATAAGTTCAGGAAGCAGTGGAGGAATACACCTGCTGTCTGTCTGTCTGTCTCTGGCTTCCCATGTGCACCTATAGGCACATATGTACATGTGCACGTATACACATGCACACCAAAAAGAAAAAAATCTCAACAACAATTTTGAAAGAGTGGGGATTTTTTAAATCTCTATTTTATAATTAAAGAGTTGGTGTGGTCCAGATCAGCTAATAAGTGTGTATTTTAGAATTTTTCCAGAGCTTTGTGACACTGAAACAGGCCTCTCCTGACCAGACTTAAATACAGAAGAGCAGGGTGTTAATAGGAGAGAAAGCAGGGGTGACCTGGGGTGAGGCATGGTTATTCTGGGGTTTATCTGGGAATGCCCTGGGTTCTATTCCCCAGCATTGCCAGAGTAAATTAGTAAAGAAATACAGAGGAAGGAGGGAGTCTCCTTGGCTGAGTTGAAGGGGAAGCATTCATGCTTGGGAAAATGTACCATGTCCTTGTTCGTCAGAATGGGAGGCTGTCGGTATAACTGAAGATGTGCTTGCGGTATCACTGGGGCTTTGGGGAGTCCCTTGGCGGTCACAGATGATACACGGGAAATCTGGGTTTCTTTTTTTTTTTTTTTTAATGGTTTGTTTTTGTTAATTTATTTTTTACATTTCAATCCCAGTCCCCCCTCCCTCCTCTCCTCCCCATGCTTCCCCCCACTCTCCTCCCCTCCCCTCCCATCTCCACGGAGAGGGATAAGGCCTTCCCTAGGAAATCTAAGTCTGTTGAAATCAGGGTTTTTTATTCTTATTAATAAAGATATAAAGAATGAACTGAAACAGAAACTGGAGGGGAATTTTATTAGCGTTTGAAAGACCACCACCACAAATGGATAAGCTGTGCATCTCAGCAGCTGAAGAGAATGCTGGAGAGAAGCAGGTGGTGGTGCCTCCACACTGCTGGTGCAGAGGTCAGCCACAGGGTGGCAGACAGCTGCCATGGTTGAGGAGGAGCAGAGCATTAAAGAAAATTAGGAAACCCAAAGTGTCAGGATGGACAACTTCTAGAAGAAAGAGAAAAAAGAAGAAGGAAATGCATCTTTCTTAGGTTTCTATTGCTGTGAAGAGACACCATGACCACAGCAACTCATAAAGGAAAACATTTAATTGGGGTGACTAGTTTACAGTTCAGAGGTTCAGTCCATTATCATCATGGTGGGACATGGCAGCATGCGCTGAGAGTCCTACAACAGGCAACAGGAAATGGTCTCCAACACTGGGAGTAGCTTGAGCATAGGACACCTCAAAGCCCGCCCCCACAGTGACACACTTCCTCCAACAAGGTAACACCTCCTAATAGTGCTGCTCCCTATGAGCTTATGGGGGCCAGTTACATTCAAACCTCCACATCATCTTTCTGAGTTAGGAAGGGAGACACAGCTGAATCCCATTGCAGCCAGTAGGGACAGTGCTGAGAATGAGAATTCTGGTAAGTAAAATACAGTATCTCATTAAAAGGATAATTATTCCACTGCATGTTTTAAGGTGAACCAGCCTTCCTCAGGAGGTCCTGCATTTCTGTGGGTAGTTCCCTGACAGGTGTAGGACCCACCCAACCAGATTACCTCTTCAGAGAGGAAACAGTGGCATGTCTCCATCTAGAGAGTGGTCCCATTCTTTACCACAACAGTCATAGTGGTCATTGGATGTCATAAATTTACATTTGAACACATGGGGGGTGAGGCAGAGGAGATGCTGGAGAACCAGGAAGATGTTTGGGGAAATGAACTGATTCTATACCCTGGGAAGGTTGCTCTGGAGCTTGCTATGTTCACCTGGTCCTGATTGCTGTATATTTTGTTTGACTATAACTTAGCTTCTCCTTTCCATTTTAATCCTGTGTTACAGTTTGATCCAGATGGATATTTTTGGGCTATAGTTCACTTATTTTGTGTAGGTAAGTTTTTTTTTAAGTATTTATTTAAATAATTAAGGACTGTTATTAAGCTCTTACTGTATAGTCTTTTTTTAATGACCCTATACAATATGAAAATTAAGATATTAAGGTTAAAGTTAAATAGACATTTTCTAGATTTTTTTTTCCTACTTTGTACTTTTCCTCAGATATTTCCAACATAATTTCTCTTTTGTGCCAAACTCTCCTTGGTTTGGGTTTACTTATAATGTTGGTTGGTCCTCTGTAAAAATGGTGGGCTCAATGTCTACAAGGGGGCTCAATAAAGAAACTACTGATGTCACTGTTCCAAGCTCTTTATTGTGGGTTAGAAAGAAAATATTCAGAGGCATCTGGAAGAGTCCAGAGCAGAGAAAGGAAAGCAGGTTGGACATGGTCAGGCTAGGGAATCAGGAGAGCAGGAGAGAAAAGTAGAGATTATGGAAAGAGAGAGCCTAACAGAAAAAGCTCAAGAGGACATCTGAGTAGGAGAGAAAGCCCCAGGGCATGGGGAGTTGTAGGGGGTGGGGATGGTGAGGGGTGAGTATCTGGAAGGGCTCCTTTTGGGGATGGAAAATCAGTTTCACAAGTTCCTAAGGAATGCTTGCTTTATCTAAACCACTGGAAATCGTCCTATATAGTTCAGCTGGAGCTCATTTCTGGACATCCAGGCTTCCTGAAAGATACTCAGAATGTCATGTCTAAAAGTCTTTCAGTAGCAAAAAAAAAAAAAAAAAAAAAAAAAAAAAAGTGAAATTAAAAGACTATCTGATTTCATTTCAAGTCATGACTTCAGTGTTTCTTGTTTGACTTCGTTGCAATCAGAAATCTTAGGGGTTTCCCTTCTCCACATGCATTGGGAAGGACACAAAACTGCACTGTTAGCAGTACCACCTGGTCACTCATGGCCAAGTGCTTCCTGCTGGAGACTGAAGTGCCCCACATTAGCATGGGATTTGCATACCTGCCCCTTTGGGGCTTTTTCTCTGTGAGATTGAGGAGCCAGCCTACCTCCATTTTCAGCTTAAAAACCATCATGTATTAAAGACTAACTAGGCTCATTCCTGTTTATGATTAAACCTCTTTTTCTTGTTTTGTTGTTGTTGTTACTGTTTTTGAGACAGGGTTTCTCTGTGGCTTTGGAGGCTGTCCTGGAACTAGCTCTTATAGACCAGGCTGGTCTGTAACTCACAGAGATCTGCCTGCCTCTGCCTCTGCCTCCCAGTACTGGGATTAAAGGTGTGATCCACCACTGCCCAGCATAAATCCCTGTTTCTTAAGGCTTTGCCCCACCTGTAACCTAATTACAAATGATTCTGTAGTGCCTGTTCCAGGAATGGCAACTATGTCTTTGTTTCAAAAAGTTAATAACCATTTTGCAACTCTACCTTTGTTTAAAAGGGTTGTTATGACTACCTTGTTATGACCACCATGCAATCATATCTTTGTTTCAGGAGGTGTTAGGACTAACTTGTTATGTTCTGTTCCTATAACCCACCTATTCTGCCCACTGAATCTCCCATTTGGAAACCCCCCACCCCTGAGCTATAAAAACCTGTCGTCCTCATGTATAGTGCTGACCTCTCAAACCTCTCCTTGGGGGAGGCAGCCCATATATACAAACAAAAATGTTTGCTTTAATTAATTAATTTGGCCTTGATGATTTGGGTAAGTGGTCTTTCTCCTTTCATCTTTGAGATTAACAAAATAGGGAGAAGGGGCCAGTACCCTTTTGGGGCTTGGGGGCCCAGCTACCTTTTCCCTGTGGCTTTTTCTGCTTTTCTGGAAGTGTGGGCAGCTCCCTAAACAGAAAGTGCCAATGACTCTTGTCTCTTCATATCTAGGGGCTTACAAAATACTTCGGAAGTCCCAGAAGCCCAGTGTGTTAAGGTAAGCTCTTAACAATTGGGGAGTTGGCTGGCTAAAGAGATGAGCCCCACAAGTGATATAGTCTTCCCCCTAAGTGAGTGATGCAGCTAGGAGAGCAGATGTCCCCAAAGCCATCCCTCTTGCTGCTAATTAGGCCACTTACCTCTTGCCACCTGCCTTTAGCAGTATGTGCACAGGCAAGGGGGTGGGGAATAGCCATTTAGGTGGTGATGTAATGAAACACCCATACCCTAGTTGTTCTGGGTGCCACTTGACTGAATCCACCTCAGAAGGGCAACTTCTTTGTTCTTGTTTCCACTGTCCCTAAAATTAGACTCAGTTTATATCTGGAAGTCTTCCTAGCTCCCAGTCTTTGCTGTAGACAGCCAATAAAACAGCTTTGGAGAATGTAAACTTAAAAAAAAAAAAAAAAAGGAAAGGAAAGTGACCTGGGGCTTGAGACTGGCCATCTGGCCCCTGGGTCTGGAGGCCCAGAAAGGAAGGGATGGCTCCCAAGCCAAGGTGCTGTCCCTGTGAGTTTTATCTCTTGGGTCACCCTTTGTTCTTTGAGTGAAGTATTTTTGCATCCAGAAACCAGGAGAGCCAGGTGTGGTTATAAATTCCTATAAATTCCTCTCTGGAAGGAGGATCTACAATTCAAGGCTTGACTAGACCCTACAGAGAAACCATGTCTCAGAAAAAAACAAAGCACATCAAAGTGCATGATGCCCACTTAAATCTGAGGTTGGATGAATAGCACATGGTTCTTAAAGTTTAAGTATATACCATGTGGTATTAGAACATACACTGAGATAAAAGTTTTTAGCTGAATTTTGAATTTACTTGAGTATTCTGGTTTTTTAAAAGGAAATACTGTGTTATGGTAAGCATACATGAGATGTGCTTGTGCCACAGTTTGTATGCAGGTGAAAAGATAGCTTTTGGAAGTCAGTTTTCTCCTTCTACCATCAGTTCCTAGAGAGCAACCTGAGGGCCTCAGGACAGCAGTGCCAGCTGAGCCACCTCACAGGCCCTGGATTTGTCTGCTAAGGAAGCCATTGCATCCAGTGGTCTAAGACACTAGATAGAGCTGACACTCTTGTGAAAGTAGCCAACACACAGGGGGAAACAGCTGGCCCAGGTGAAGTGTGTATTAGCACTAAACTAGCAATTGTGTGGAAGGTTAGAATTCGAATTTCCTGCTTCCTTGACAGTTGCTTGCATGTCCACTGCTGCAGTGGGCTCTGCCACTCTAGCCTGACTCCTGGTTTGAGGGAGCTGGTTTATTCTTTACTTACCTGGATAACTAACTTGAAATGAAAACATACTTTGTTTGGTCCTGAAAAGTATTAGGTTTTGTTTGTTTGTTTGTTTTTTATTTGTTTTGCCATGTCAGTAATCTAATTTTCCTTCCCTCCTCCCTCCCCCCACCTCCTTTCTTTCTTTTATTGAAATACTGTGTGAGATCTTTTCTCATACAATATATCCTGATTGTAGTTTCTCCCAGTTTCTCTGCACTTCCCCTCAGGACCTATTTATCCCCTTTCTGTCTCTCATTAGAAAAGAACAGGCTTCTATGAGATAACAAACAAATACATTAAGATGAAGCAAAATCTTTTATTTTGAATCTGGACACAGGAACGCAAAAGGAGAGAAAAAAGTCCCGAAAGCAGGCACTAGAGTCAGAGACCTGTTCAGTCTCACAGTCAGGAGTCCCATAAAAACACTAAGCTAGCATCGATAATATAGACTCAGGTGAAGGCCCCGTGTTTGCAGCTCCAGTCTCTGGGAGTTAGTATGCACCTTGCTTAGCTGATTCAGAGAGCCTTGTTCTCCTGGTGTCTTCCAGCTCTTCCATGGAATTCCCCAAGCTCTGCGGGGAAAGATTTGATAGAGACCTCCAATTTAGACTCTCTCTGCATGATGTCTGCCTGTGGGTCTCTGCTGCTGGAGGACGCCTCTCTGATGATGATGATGGACAAGACAGTGATCTATGAGTATAGCATAGTATCACCAGGAATCAGTTTTTTCGATCTGTCTACCTACCTATCTACCTACCTACGTACCTACCTACCTATCATCTATCTATTGGCCAGTTGTGTTTGGTTTTATCCTTAGGGAAAACTGTTTTGGTTTTACCTTAGATATTTGCCTTAGGACTATCTAGTCCCTGGTTCTTGGTTGGGTATGGTTTCCTTCTTGTGGAGTGGGCCTTAAGTCAAATCAGGCAATCATTAGCTGCTCTCACAGTCCTGAGCCACCATTGATGCCTTAGAATATTTTGCAGGCAGGACAAATTGTAGGTGAAAAGTTTTGTGTCTGGGTTGGTATCCACATTTCTCTTTCTGTGGTTTGCAGAATCCCTTCCCAAACCAAAATGATGAGAATGTAGAGGTGAGACACCATGTAGGCACCAGCTCTCCATATTCAATGAGTTGTGTGAAATTTAAAAAGTTATTTCTGGTCAAATGGAAGAATTGGACTTAAATACAAAGCACTTCTCCTTGGATAATTTATGAAATCAGTAACTTATATGTAGAATTTATTAATAGAGGATAATGACTTCTTTCTATTATTTTATTAGTCTTATCTTTTTTTCTCTAATTTCTCAGTGACATTGACCAGCAGTACTTAAACTATATATTCAGGTAAGACAGAATTTATATTTTTCAAGAATAATGTATATCTTGCTTAGAGATGAGTTTTTGTTTTCCAGTAAGATTTTGAATAAACAATTTTAAACAAGTTGGCCTGCTAGGGAAGCAAGTTTAAAATTTTGTGAGTTGATCACACTCTGAAGAATGCAAAGTTGTCCTGCCCTTAGCCCAGACAAGAGGAGCCTGTTTGGTCTTGAGCTTCAGAGGCCCCACCCTCTCCCTGGAGGGTGAATGATACTTGTTTTGGTGCCCACACCTTTGCTTCTAGACTGCATCCTGAATCTCCCATACAAGTGGTCCTGACCTTGGCTTTTGTCTTGGCCCTCATGTTTTCAATACTCCAACACAAACACACACACACACACACACACACACACACACAACCTGGTTCAGAACAGAGAGCCAGAGGCCAGATCCCTCTGATGTGAAGTGTCAGTCACTAATTTAGACTTTAGGCTGCTTGTATGGTGTATTTATTAAGGTGGTTAGTCAGGTCTGAAGCTTAATCTATAATCTTTTAGGCATGGCATATGGACTCCTGTGTGCGCCCTTACCCCGGCCGGGCAGAGGACAGGTCATCCTGCTGTATCATACAGCTCAGGATGGCTCTTGGGTTTTAGCAGCCTTAGGCTATCTGATGTTGAGAAAGTGAGACTTGCTGCTGGGGATCCAAGTGTGCCTGACATACAGACTTATCAGTGGCAGGACTGGGTTGCCTTAGCACTTGGTGGCAATGATTTTTGATGATGTTTGATGGGAGATGTCCTTCTGTATATATATTTCTCTTATTGATTGATGAATAAAAACACTGCTTGGCCAATAGCCAGGTGAAAGGACAGGCCAGGCTACAAGTAGAAGGCATGAGGAGAGAGGGGGAGGCTGTGGAGAGATGCCATGTAGCAGAGGAAGGAGTAACAGGTCTGGACCCTTCTCTGGTAAGATAAGATCACATGGAAATACTTAGATTAATAGAAATGGGTTAATAATTAAAACAGAGCTAGCCAATAAGAAGTCCTAGCCATCAGCCAACAGTTTTAGAATTAATACAGCACCCATGTGTTTATTTGGGGCAAAGTGGCTGTGGGACCAGGCTGGAAAGAAACTCCAGCAATAGGTAGTTACTTGACTTACAACTTCAGTACTCACTGCAGCTCCATTTTCACAGAAATCTCCTGTTGTACAACTCAGCCCAGCAATTATTAAAACACCTGTTAGTATTTTGATTTTTAATTAGGTTGTATGTGTTTGACACCAAAAGAGGGTGTCAGATCTTCTGGAGTTAGAGTTATAGATGGTTGTGAGCCTCCTGATATATGGATGCTAGGAATTGAACTCAGGTCCTCTGCAGTACACACTAACCACTGAGCCAGCTCTCCAGCACATGTTTTAATGTAAAATTCACTCTAAGCATGGCTGTTCAATACCTTTACCCTCAACAACAACAACAACAACAACAAAAAGCCCTAGTCAATTCATTCTGCTGGTGCTGTGGTGTGTGTGTGTGTGTGTGTGTGTGTGTGTGTGTGTGTGTGTTTGTGTGTGTGTGTGGGGGGGGGAATCTTCCTTTGTTGCTTACCTTATTTTTTGAGACAGGGTTTCTTACCTAACCTAGAGCTTTCCATTTCAGCTAGGCCAGCTGGCAGCCCCCTGGGATCTGCTTGTTGCCATCCTCCAGCCACTGGCTGGAATTAAGATACTTTCCCCCCAAAATGCCAATAGTTCTGGATATTTCAAAACTTTTCCAGAGCTATAGTTCTATGGTATAATACCCAGCATGCTAGGCACTGAGTTTAGTCCCCACTGCTGAAAAGAAAAATATTTCCCAGAGTTGGGTCATAGTAGGTAGTTCTTCACAGAAGACATATGCCATGCAGCAGAGGTATAGCAGTACAGAGAAAAGAGCACTGTGGTCCTTAACTCTTGTGTTTTTCACTTTGTCTGCTGTGAGGATATTTATTGCTTTGACCATGGTACTCGGGATTCCTGGATGAGTCTATTGTGCACTCCAGTAAAGCCCCAATTCTGTCCAGCTTTGCTCTGTTCAGTAAAGTGGTAAAGACGTTTGAATCAGAATGAGGACCACTTTCCCACAGGCCACTACTACTTGATGCTGGGAAATTAGCACCCAGAAATCTGCCCTCTGCTTAGATTTATGGATGCCCCTGTCTGGACCAGCATGGGGCACTGCCTGCCAGGGTAGATCTGTTTTGGTCTGTCAGTATTCTGGGAGTTGCAATAGGTGGAAGGGTCTTAGTCTTTGGCAGATAGTCTCCCTTCACTGAGAATGCATATTCTCCTGACTCTGACTCTTTGCTGTTTCCCCCATATACTCCCACTACCAACACACCTGGAGGTGATTACCTGTAGCAGAACCTATTTTGAGCATCTGTTATATGCCTTATACTGCTATGCTTGAGACCCAGAGGTAAATAAAGCATAGTTCTTCCCATGAAGAGGGACAGTGTGGAACAAGGAGAGGGCTAACACCATTTTTACAGTTCAGATAGATGAATAAGACCATAGTACAGGGAAAGGTTGGCTAGACAGCTGAAAAGAACTGGAACTTTTCAATGCAGGTGTGCCTTCTGTCTGCATTTTGGAGAATTTAACTAATAGATCCTTATATTATAAATTCTTTCTAAATGAATTCCCCCAATGTATAAAATTTAAAATTATTACTGCAATGTTGCTAACACATTCTCCACTTCATTCTTTGGGTGAGCTTATGCACAAGTCTATCAGTGGGAAATGGACAGGTATTCTCTGGGGGATGACTCAATGAGACAGAAAACATGCAGGCTAGTGTTTGGAGATCACAGTTCCCCTAGCTCTCCCAGGTATGTTTCCTAGGAGCACTGAGATGCTTTCTCATCTGCTGCTTTGTTCTCATACTAGGACAGTACTTGCCAGGCTCAGTGGCTATGATCTATGTTCAGCTACTGAGGCAGGGTGATCCCAAGTTCAAGGTCTGCCCTGGACTACAAAGTGAGTTCAGGGGTAGCCTGGACAATTTAGTGACACCTTATCTCTAAAAATCAACAGTAAAAATAGATCTGAAGTTATAGCTCAGCAGCAGAGTACTTGCCTAGTATGCACGAGGGACTAGGTTCAATCCACAATAACACACATGCACACACACAAAGAGACAGGCACACCATTCACACACGGAGAGACATTACACACACACACACACACACACACACACACACACATACACACAGAGGGACAGGCAGACAGACACACCACACACACACAGATTTGTCACTCATTAAATATTTCATTAAGGAGTAAGTTTTTAAAAGGTCTGCTAATCACTAGGTATTATATATTAGTGTAATTTATATTAGCACATTTTTCTTTTTAGCCTTTGTATGTCATTTATTACTAGGGGGTTTCAAGTTTTATTTTTGTTCTGACATATTCTTACCACAAATACAATTAGAGGGGCGTTGAGTTCATTAGGACCCATATTGATCAGCAGTCATATGCCTCATTGCTTGTGATCCCAAGATGAGGAAAATATGGCTCTGGTCCCCCACGAGGGCACCACACAAGTCTGGGGTCAGGCTGGGTTTGTGAAACTGAAAATAGGGATTAGACACTCAATCTGAATTCTTTTTACTCAGAGCGACCCTGATAGCATTTAAGGTAATATGGCACCATGGTAGGTCCTAGAAGATACTTTGAGATGGAAAAGGGGTTCCCTTATCCTATCATGGACCAATAATCTACACTCCTGAAGTTATAATCAAAAGAGTATCTCGAGGTTAAAATAATGAAGGGTATACATTTAAAAAATATGCAGATGTACAGAGCCCATGCAGAGAACTAGGCATACCAATTCTGCAGTGGTGTGTGTGTGTGTGTGTGTGTGTGTGTGTGTGTGTGTGTGTATGGCATGCATGTGTGTGTATGTGTAAATCCTGTCTTACTAACTTACAGGTTCTTGAATAATGGGGCACAGGGTTGATCCCTTCCACATTCTCATAAGCCTTCTCTCTTCCCACCTCTGCCATTCTAAGTGCATTCATTAAAAAAAATCAAAAGCTATCAGCAGCTAAGCAGGCACCCTGGAAGCCAGAACACACACACACACACACACACACACACACACACGCACACACATGCACACACACACACTGGGGGGGGGCTAGCATGCAAGTCATGGTCCTACCTACACCGATAGGAGTGACCATCTAAGCCTTGGACCCGTCTATACCTAGAGGAGTGCTCACCTGCTGAAGGAGCATTCAATGATGCCACAACCCTCAACTGCATCAATTGGAGGAGGAGGGACCCCATGAAGCACAGGCTCCACTTATCCTAATTGGAAGAAGAGTTGGGTAGACAACAAGGTAAGAATACACTCAACAACACAAAGAGCAATACAGCACCACCAGAAACCAGTGGTTCTATGGCAATGAGACCTGAACATCCCAACTCAGTTGAAGCAGAAGAAAAGAACATTAAAAATAACTTTATGAAGATGATTGAGGCCCTTAAAGGGAGATAAAAAAATTCCCAGAAAAACATGGAGGAAAAGACAAACAAAAAATTGGAAGAGACCAGCAAGTCCCTTAAAGAAAACCAAGAAAAAACAGTCAAACAGATGAAGAAAATGGTTCAAGACTTGAAATCTGAACTAGAGGCAATAAAGAAAACACAAACTGAGGGTATTATGGAATTGGAAAAACTGGGTAAACGAGCCGGAACTACAGGTGCGAGCATAAGTAACAGAATACAAGAGATAGAAGAGAGAATCTCGGGCATTAAAGATACAATAGAGGAAATAGTTCACCAGTCAAAGAAAATATTAAATCCAACAAATACCTAACACAAAATATCCAAGAAATCTGGACACCATGAAAAGATCAAACCTAAGAATAATAGGGATAGAAGAAGGAAAAGAAGTCCAGCTCAAAGGCACAGAAAATATAGTCAACAAAATCATAGAAGAAAACTTTCCCAACCTAAAGAAGGACATACCTATGAAAATATAAGAAGCTTACATAACACCAGACAAACTAGAAAACTAGACCAAAAAGTCCCCTGGTCATGTATTAATAAAAACATTAAACATGCAAAATGAAGAATATTAAGAAAATGGCCAAGTAACATATAAATGCAGACCTATCAGAATTATATCTGACTTCTCAATTGAAATAATGAAAGCCAGAAAGTGTTATGTAGACACTAAGAGACCCAGACTACTACACTCACATGATCATCTCATTAGATGCTGAAAAAGCCTTTGACAAATTCAGCACCCCTTCATGATAAAGGCCTTGGAGAGAACAGGGATAAAAGGAACATACCTAAACATAATATATATAGTACCCCAATAGCCAACATCAAACTAAATGGAGAGAAACTCAAAGCAATCCCACTGAAATCAATAACAAGAGAAGGCTATCCACTCTCTCCATATCTGTTCAATATAGCACTCAGAATTCTAGCTAGAGCAATAAAATAACACAAGGAAATCAAGGGGATACAAATTGGAAAGGAAAAATCAAATTTTTGCTATTTGCTGATGATATGATAGTATATATAAGTTACCCAAAAAATTCTACCAGGGAACTCCTACAAGTGATAAACACCTTCAGCAGTGTAGCAGGATATAAGATAACTCAAACAATCAGTATCCCTCCTATAGATGATAATCAGAATGTGAAAGAAATCAGAGAAACATCACCTTTTATAATAGCCAAAAATAACATAAAATATCTTGGAGTAACACTAACCAAACAAGTGGAAGGCCTGTATGACAAGAACTTTACATCTTTGATGAAAGAAATTTAAGAAGACATCAGAAAATGGAAAAAACTCCATGTTCTTGGATAGGTGGGAATAACATAGTAAAAAATGGCAGTATTAACTAGAAGCAATCTACAGATTCAATTCAATAATCATCAAAATCCTAGCAAATTTTTTCACAGTTCTCAAAAGGATTATACTCAACTTCATATGGAAAGAACAAAAAACCAGGATAACAAAAGCAATCCTGAACAATAAAGGAATTTCTGGAGGCATCAACATACCAGACTTCAAACTCTACTATAGAGCTATAGTAGTTAAAACGGTTTTGTATTGACATAAAAGCAGACAGATGGATCAATGGAATTGAATGAAAGACCCTGATATTAATCCACACAACTATGAACACCTGATTTTTGACAAAGAAGCTACAATTATAAAATAGACAAATGAAAGCTTCTTAACAAATGGTGCTGGCATAACTGGAGGTTGACATGCAGAAAATGCAAATAGATCCTTGTGTATTGCCATTCATAAACTCAAGTCCAAATGGATCCAAGACCTCACCATAAAACCAACCACACTGACCCTTATAGAAGAGAAAGTGGGAAGTAGCCTTGACTGCACAGGAGACCACTGCCTAATATAACACCAGTAGCACAGACACTGAGAGCAACAATGAATAAATAAGACCTCTTGAAACTGAGAAGTTCTGTAAAGCAAAGGACATGGTCATCAAGAGAAAACAGTAGCCTACAGAATGAGAAAAGATCTTTACCAACTCCATATCTGACAGAGGACTGATCTCCAAAATATGTAAATAACTCAAGAAAGTAGACATTAAAAGACAAAATCCAGTAAAAAATGGGATACATATCTAAACAGAGAACTCTTCAACAGAGGAATCTGAAATGGCCAAAAGGCACTTAAGGAAATGCTCAACATCCTTAGTCATCAGAGAAATGTAAATCAAACAACTCGGAGATTACATCTTATACCTGTCAGAATGGCCAAGATCAAAAACTCTAATGACAGCTTATGATGCAGAGGATGTGGTATAAGGGGAACACTCCTCCATTGCTGATGGGAGTACAAACTTGTAGGGCCATTTTGGAAATCAGTATGGTGGTTTCTTGGAAAATTGGGTATCAATCTACCTCAAGACCCTGCAATACCACTTTGGGCATATGCCCAGAGGATACCCTACTTAGACAGCAAGGGTTTTGTTGTTGTTGAGACAGAGTTCCTCTGCATAACAGGTCTGGCTGTCCTGGAGCTCACTCTGCAGACCAGGGTAGCCTCAAACTCTCAGAGACCTGCCTACCTCTGTCTTCCGAGTGCTAGGTTTAAAGACGTGCCACCACCATCCAATTTAGGCAGCAAGTTTTAGTCCTACCCTGTCACTAGTTCAGTTGCCTAGATGACATGGAATTTTGCTAAAAGCAGCAGCAGAAGGTGGAAATGTAGCCCCGTTGCAGCTAAGCTCCAGGAACAGTAGGAGTTCCGGGAAATGGAGAGACTACCAGAAAAAGGATGTAGTGCCAAGACCGAATATGGCCCACATCAAAGAAACCCTCCTTTGCATCCTTCAATACTTGGTATCTATTGAGCATCTGCTTAGATAGATAAATTTGTGAATCACTTGGAAATTTAACTCCTTTTTGTATAGCTCATAATAAAAATATTCTTGGCCCACACTCAACAGCTAGCTTTTAGATTGCAACCTAATAATCGTTTTAGGTTGCTTAGCTTTCAAATAATCATTGTAAATTAAATGAACATTATAATAGGGTCAGCCAGGGCTAATGAAAGTAATAGACGGAGGGACATGAAGTCTTTGTCCTAACCATGAGCCCTCTTGCCAAGGCATAAGCAGTTCCAAGAGATTCTCATTCTCTCAGGATCTGGGTTCACGCAGAAAGATCTGTGAGTGTAGACAGTTTTCTTTCATGTAAATTTAACTGGTAGAATTGGATGGAAATGTGATTTGTTTATGCATTTGGGGAGGGCTTGGTTATGTACTGGGGAGAGCTTTCTTGACTGCTTTGCTGTACTTTGTTTTGTTTTGTTTTGCAGTGTGGCACTCCTGGCATTTGCATCGCACCCCACAGGTAAAGCACTCTAATGTTTACTTATAACCCCTGTTCACCCAGGGCTCTTAAGGCATTGTGTAACAGAATGTGAGGATCAAGTGGTCTCTAGATTTGAAACTACCCTGAACCCAAATGGTGGGAGTGAGTATAGCTCAGTGGTAGAACACATCCCTAGCACGTATAAGCCTGGTTGATCCCAGCATTGTAAAACGCAAAAACAAAAAAGATTTATTGCCAACCAATTTATTCTTATCCCTGTTTAAAAAAAAAATTGGAGACGTGATTGAGTCAATTAATCTAAAGTTCATTTAAACTTTGAGATTTTTTAGTTAGCCTGCAAAATAATAGGCACTATTGTGACATTTTCATACATGTGTGCTGCTGTTTTTCACTCATGATCTCACCCTGCTACTGCCCCTTGTCCCCGCTGTGTCACTTCCACTGTTTCCTTCTTCCCCAACAGCCTGCCTCCTTCATGCTTCATGCCATGAGTGTGAGTTTATATAGTTTAAGCCTAGAACCTGCACATGATAAAAAAATGTGATATTTATATTTCTGAGTCTGGCTTGTTTTCTTTAGTATGATGATCTATAGTTCTGTCCCTTTGATATAATATTTTCCTTTATGGCTGAATACGCGTGCATGCGTGCGTGCGTGTGTGAGAATATGCATGTAGAAGTCAGGGAACATCTTTAGCAGCAGTTGGTTTCCAACATGTAGATTCTAAGGATCTCAAACTCAAATAATCAGACTTGGTTGGAAGTGCTTTTGCCATAGAGTGCATCCTACTGGCCCTGCCAGCATCATTTTAACATAATTTCTTATCATAGTTGCCACCCTGTCTTTTTAATAATGCAGTAAAGAGTTGGCTTTCAAATTATCTTTACATTGTTGTTGCATTGGTTACACTGAGGTTGTTTTTTCAGATTTTGGAATTTCCCCAAATGGTCTATTCTGTCTTGCAGTTTGTTTTTTACTTTAAAAGGTTTTGGAGTACTATTAGTCTGTTTTCTGTTGCTAGTAACACAAAACTGCAGACAGAGTAAATTATCTTTTCAAAAGAGGCTTATTTTGGTCCCTAGTCTTGGTGCAGGTTTACAGGGTCACTTCTGGTGAGGCTTTCTCATTATGTTACTAGGGTTTCTAGGGTTGGAGTCTGGGCCCTAGCAACACAGGAGGCTAGAATTGGCCCTTCATCAGTGGATGAATCAAGGAGATAAGTAATAGTGAAAAGCTGAGAAAGATTTAATTGGTGTAACCATATTGGGAAAAGGAGCAAATAAAGAGGTTCAGTAAGCCTCCACACCTACATATAAGAAATTATATCAAAATGATGTCACTTTAGAATATTTTCATTTCATCTGGCCAGTGGTGTTGCACACTTTTAATCCTAGCACTTGTAAGACAGAGGCAGGGAGATCTACATGATTTCAAAGCCAGCCTAGTCTATAAAGTGAGTTCTAGACCAGCCAAGACTACACAAGAAACCGTGTCTTAAATTATTTTTAAAGGAAGAAAGGAAACAAGCAAACAAGTAAACACCTATATCATTAAGTCTACCAGTGTTAAATTGTGAGTGGGTGGTAGCCTCAACCCTTTTACCTCATTTAATCATAGTTCATCTCCCAAAGACCCCCCTTCTCATCTCCTCTTTTTTAAAAACCTTCTTTTACTTCACAAGGTATTAGACTTGAGCATGAGTTTTAGAGGAAACTTGCTTTTGGTCATGGTATATTCTCACAGCAATGGTAACACTACCTGGGACTCTATTGAATGTCCTCACCTTTGTCATCGTTAAAAGCACAGTATATCCCACAAAATTGTGAGCTCCAAATGCTTTCTGCTCTTCTGTGTTGTTTGTCACCTGTCTGCTCACCACACCTTCTCAGGCTTTGGGCCTTACAGATGTTTCATGTGCCCCTTGCAGGTTCCCCTGGCCTCCCATTTATTTACTTCCTGAATTCGTTTCAGTGGATTTGACTTTGTGTGTGTGTGTGTGTGTGTGTGTGTTTCTTGTGCTTTTTCTTTTTGTTGTTGTTGTTTGGTTGTTCATTTAATTTGCTTGTTTGTTTTCTAGAGAGAAAGAAGTAGAGGTCAATGAGTGGGAAGTTGGGGAGGATCTGGGAGGAAATAGGGAGGGAAAACCATGATCAGAATATATTGTATAAAAAAACTAAAATGAAGAAACCTGCATTAGTAATAGGCAGATTCGGGGCACCAAAAGCGAAGCTTTTCGAGTCAGCTGGAAATTGAGGGTCACATAGTCGAGTCTGGAACATTTCTGGCCTGCTGAGAAGCACCCAGTCTTACAGATACCCTTCTTTCAGTAGTGCTTGCTAAGGTGTCTTTGTGATCCTGACTTAGAGTGGCCACCCGGGTGTGTGAGATGGAGTCCCTGCTTTCAAAGGAGCTGATGGCTCTAGGGTTCCATCCCTCTTGTTATTCTCCTCTCCCTCATCTCCCCCTGCCCATCCCTCTTGTTATTCTCCTCCCCCTCATCTCCCCCACCATCCCTCTTGTTATTCTCCTCCCCCTCATCTCCCCCCACCATCCCTCTTGTTATTCTCCTCCCCCTCATCTCCCCCACCATCCCTCTTGTTATTCTCCTCCCCCTCATCTCCCCCACCATCCCTCTTGTTATTCTCCTCCCCCTCATCTCCCCCCCACCATCCCTCTTGTTATTCTCCTCCCCCTCATCTCCCCCTGACCATCCCTCTTGTTATTCTCCTCCCCCTCATCCCTCTTGTTATTCTCCTCCCCCTCATCTCCCCCACCATCCCTCTTGTTATTCTCCTCCCCCCTCATCTCCCCCCACCATCCCTCTTGTTATTCTCCTCCCCCTCATCTCCCCCCACCATCCCTCTTGTTATTCTCCTCCCCCTCATCTCCCCCACCATCCCTCTTGTTATTCTCCTCCCCCTCATCTCCCCCACCATCCCTCTTGTTATTCTCCTCCCCCTCATCTCCCCCCACCATCGCTCTTGTTATTCTCCTCCCCCTCATCTCCCCCTGACCATCCCTCTTGTTATTCTCCTCCCCCTCATCTCCCCCTGACCATCGCTCTTGTTATTCTCCTCCCCCTCATCTCCCCCTGACCATCCCTCTTGTTATTCTCCTCCCCCTCATCTACCCCTGACACTCCCCGTTGTTATTCTCCTCATCATAATCTACCCATGACCATCCCTTTTATTCTTTAGACTCCCTTTCAAAGCCTCGGCTAGGCTATGAATATTACCTGTGTTCTCTCACTGGCTTACCCAGCTGGAACATTTGTGATGAAAGATGGGATGTCAAAAGGAGGCACATCCAGAGAGGTCTCAAGGTCCTGGATTTAATTGATCGCCTTCTCTGCCATTTCTCATTAATTCTATGATTGCACTGCAGTTCCTCTCATACTGGGAGATTGGGCAAAGGCCAAGAGCCAGCATCTGCAGAAGAGACAGAAGAGAATCTCCATGGACATTCCATGTGCACGCCTGAGCAGGAGCTTCATCCTCTCTTGCAGTCCACAGTCCCAGGGTTATCGTGTTTGTCATTTCTCTGCAGAAAAGAGCCTCAGAATGTGCCATTGTACACTTAAGTTCTGGAACTGGTGGATAAAGGCAGGCTCTTTCCTTATACTGTCCCTGTGTGGGTGCTGATGCTGAAGGGAAGCCCTAAGGCCTGGAGTGACCTGCTTTCACGTTCCAGCTCCACACTTCAACAGTTATACAGTTCTAGCTGTGTCTCTTCTAACTGCAGTTGGAGTGGGGGTACAGAACCTCTCAGGGTTGCTGCAAGGAGTAAGAGATGAAGTCACCACACTTCCCATAGGGCTTTGCACAAAGCATGCTCTCGCTGAATGGTCACTGCCATCACCTCATTCTTAGGAGGCAGTAGCAGATTCTTAGGGACAGGAGAGTTGGAGGACTAAAGGCACCATGCAGGATACATTGTCTTATTTATGTTTCCCGAAGTAGCTTGGTGCAGGGAGCTGAGGGAGCTCTGTAGACTATTGTGTCACCGTTGCTGTGCTCCTTAGGTGACCTCTTCAGTGTCCTGGACTTTCCATTCCTGTATTTCTACAGATTCCACGGCAGCTGCTGTGCCAGGTAACCTTGAGCCATGGTATGTGTTTTCTGTGCCATTAGCTGTATCTTCATCTGTATGCAGCCCAGCATAATTATGGTGAACCAAGTGAGTCGTAGAAACAAGGAGGGGGTACTGTGGGAGCAGGCTTCTGTCTCTGGCCGTCATTCCTGTACACTCACACCCGCTCACAGCCATCCTGAATGCAGCAGACCCTGGCCTGTGGCGATGTTCAGCCAGGGCTGTGGTTTTCAAGCTTGCTGTGCTTCCCCACGTTTTCAACTCCACAGTCACCACGCAGAACTGCAGTGTATAAAACTATTGGGATTGACTCAGTTCAAGGGCTGTTTGTGTCCTCTCCAGTTTGACCTTGGCTTCCCACTTGATGATGAAGGCAACCTGCAAAACCCTCCTCTATGGAACTCTCAGACTCAGAAGGAGGATAGAGTAAGGCAGCCACAGCATAGAAATTATTTACAAGCTAACAAGCCACGCAATGGGAGGAAAGTGCTGGATGTTCCTCTACACAACTGAGGCTACCTCCTCCTAATCAAGTCTCTTCTGAGAGAACAGATTATACTCATGTCCTTTGGCTGGAGGGGGAGAAGGAAGGGCACATCCCAAGGATCCCAGGAGGGTTAGGATATTGAACACACCTGTGATGTTGTTTCTTGGCTACCAAGAGGTGACTTGGAGCACAGAGTGCCTCTCTGTGTACCTCTCCCCTCAGAGATATGCACCCTAGAACATCCCATTCTGACTTACCGATGTGTTGCTGTGACAGGTGTCTAAGAGAAACAATTCAAATTTTATCAAAGGATCTTTTTTGGCTCCTGGCTCCAGTGTCTGCCCAAGGTTGTCCGGTTATCCCACTTTGGGCCTGAGAGAGACTGACAATAGTGGTGGTGATGTAGGAAAAACTCAAAAGTCATAGAATAGACAGTAGAGGATACTAATAGATTTGCTTAGGAGACATTAAATCATACAATGTAGAATTTAGCTAAGGGGGTGCTGCCCCTTAAATGCCCCAAAGATAAGTAGTAGCTACCCGGGCCTGTTAGAGGTAAGCAGTTTACCATGCTAGGATAAAATATTTGTTCACCAATACTGACCAGCTTCATGCCTCCAACATGCAGCTCAAGGGGGTAGTACAGGGTTACAAAGGCTGTTAAGTCCCAGTCTGTTAGTAAGTTCTTTGTGCCCAAGTCAGGAAAAAGCCCAAGCCAGGTGGAGAAGATGTCACCAGGTAACAATTACTCAGAAAAAAACAAAACAAAACACACACACACACACACACACACACACACACACACACACACACACACACACACACACACACACACCTGGTATACTTAAGAAACAGTTCTGGGGTTCTTTGCTGTGTAAATGTCCCATCTGCCCAAGTGGCCAGATTTGCAGTCCCCGTTGTGAGTTTAAATTGTTCAAAGTGTAACCTGGGGCTGGGATCTATAAGAGATTTAAGGATGACAGCATTTGTAAATGCATAAGCCTAAAATGCGTGTTAGCCAAAACTTCTATTCGAGACTGGCTCTTCCTTGAGTGGTAGCCTCTCTCTCTCTCTCTCTCTCTCTCTCTCTCTCTCTCTCTCTCTCTCTCTCTCTCTCTCTCTCTCTCTCTCTCTTTCTCCCTCTCCTTCTGTGTGTGTGTGTGTGTGTGTGTGTGTGTGTGTGTGTGTGAAGATTTTCCTCTAAGTGAACAATTTCTCGATGGGAAGGCATATGAATTCTTTAACAGTGACAGTATACAGTAGATGAGGTGTTTGCCTAATGAAGCAGAGAAGTGAGGTAAGAAGGGAAGAGCTGTGGGCAGTGTGTATACTTCAGAGGTGTACCCCCAGGGATGCATTTCTTCCAACTAGGCCCTACCTCCTGATGCTTCCATTATCTCTCAATAATGCCTTCAGATGATGACTCCGTAAATGGACCAATCCAAAATCAGAGACCTCATGATGAACCACTTCCCCAAGGCCCCTCCCCTAACACTGCTTACATCTGTTGTGGAGTCTTAGTACCTGAGTTTTTGGAGCAATACTTAATATCGAAGCAGTAACAATGCCCATTTATACATTTCTCTGTTGTGACATAGCAAGGTTTCTGAGCCTCTCTCTCCTCTCATTAGAAAGGCTGAGGGCCAGGCTTCTACACTGCTTTTCCCTAGGGGCACTAGAAAACACGAATATGATGGAGGTTGTGCGATGCTCAGAAATTAGATGTTGACTGATAAACCGAGTGTGACAGCATGACACTTGCCTGTAGTCACAGCCCTTGGAAGAAGGGGTGGAGGGTTGAGAGCTTCATGTGGCAAGCCTGGTGCAAGTGTGGAGGTGGATGGGAAGGAACTGACTGGCTGTAGATGAAGGAAGGCAGCCTCACTAACCAAAGGGTGTTTTCTCCTTTCAGCGGAGCTTTGGGCTTCTTTCTCATGCTCAGTACAGTAAAGCTGAAAAGTATTCTGGCCCCAGGGCAGTGTGCAGCCTGGATTTTCTTTGCTAAGGTAAGAGAGAGGGGCTGTAGGGGTGGGAAGGTCTAGTCCTGTGTAGCCAGCCTTCTCAGCCTGGGTTCTGTAAAGTGGAACCTTTAAGAAACCAGTTTTAGTGATCGGAGCCTGGTGACAATTTCTGAGACCTTTCACTTACTTTATCAGCAAGACATCATCACATTCCTAAAAGGTACTACAGGAAAACTGACTTCCATGTGCCTTCAAGGCAAGGGCTGTTGCAAAAAGAGCTTTTGTCAGAGTCAAGGCTGACTGACGTAAGAGAGAGGTAGGTGGGCTATGAAGGCTCAGGAACCAAAAGGCAACAGTGGGAAGCACCATGGTAACAGAAATGCTTTGAGAAGGGCTCTCTCCTCCAGGGCCTTCCTTTCATCTCATGTCTGAAGCAGTTAGGGTGCAGGGGGCCTTGGACCTGCTGCTGAGGAGTGAGATTCCATGATGAAATTATCAGAGCTTCTGTGTTCAGTCATGTCTAGTTTTTCAGTTGTTTTCTCTGAAAATGAGATTACACAGTGTTGATGTCACCTAAACGGTCCACCCTTAATAGTCTTGTTCACAGTAGAATGTGGAGACTGGCTGGGAGAGGAAAGAAGTTGGCAGAATCTCCAAAACAAGCAGAAAGCTGGGAAATCATTGTTCAAAGTCTCCATTTCTGTGCTCCAAAACTTGATGGAAAGCACACAAGAAACCAGAAGTATTTGTTCTTGGTAGGAAGAGAGTGAATTCATGGTGTTCTTGCCTGCCACTGCCCCATTCCCTCCTTTCAGCTATCTGTGTGATGAAGCCAGAGCAGGCTGTGAAGAGCCATAAAAATCAGCTTTGCTGCTTCTAGAAGTCTCTCCTTTTGCTTGGGGTATTGTTCATTCAAGTGGCCATTTTGGTCAGAAGTGAACAGGAGAAGCCAGTAGTTTCACTGTCTTGAGTGTACAGGCCTCACTGGAGTCAGCTGTGGACAGTGGTTTTGCTGCTGACCTAAGTAATTTTGGAGATAAGAGAGCATTGTGAGCTGTGTTGCTCTCTGTATATCTCACATTGAATGCCTTCTGCATCTAGGAACACACAAGTGTTGGAGCAGACACACACACACACACACACACACACACACACACACATACATATCCCTGGCTAGTAGAGCCTGCTTGCACACACAAAAGAGCAAGTGGAAAGTACAACCCAAGGCAGATGTGAAAACTGCCTAAGAGTCAGATGTCCTCTCCAGCTGTGTAGAAGCAGAGACAAAAGCTCTGATTGGTTCTTGCCAGGACACCAGGTTACACAAGCATGAAGAATAAGAACAAATTAGCACTGCACCTTTTATGAAAGACAGATTTTATGTTTGGTTTAGGAAGATCACTGAACAGGCAAAACAAACAACTGTAATAAGATATGTGGGAAAGTCAGAACCTAGAGTTGATACCACATATTATCTAGAAAGCACAGCACTCAAGCAAGCGTTATACAAATTTAGAGAAGCAGATTGTGGCCTATGTGCAGGAAAAGGAAGTCCATGGGAACTGGCTCTGGGTATGTGGCTCAGAAGGTATTATCCTGGAGCATTGCCCACCCTCCATCAAGACACTGGGGGCGGGGGGGGGGGGCTACAGGATATAAAGAAAGGCTCCCTGAATTCAGAATGTCACTCAGAGAGAACTAGGAAATAACCAGTGGAAAGTCCAAATTGAAGATATAGCTGAAATGAGATTCCTGCAGAGGGGCTGAACAGATTTTAGATGGCAGAAAAGTGAACTGTAAGAGGGAGAAGGCATCGTTTTAAAAATGTAAACCGCACTCCAGACACCAGTGAGATATCATACATATCAACATATATATATATATGTGTGTGTGTGTGTGTGTGTGTGTGTGTTTACATATATACACACATGTATAAGCAGTCGTGGAAGAGGAAGAGCCAGGGATATAAAAATATTTAAATAAATAATGGATGAAACTTCCAGATTTTATGAAGGACATTAAAATTCATTAAGCCCTAAGAACAAACAAAAACAGAACCTTACCCAAACAAATTATAACTCAACTGTTAAAAGACAAAGAGAAAATATTAAAAGTATCAAGAAAAAAAGATACATTATAAATGGAGGAAATCAATGCAACTAATTAAAAATAAAAAACAAACCTCAAAACAAAAACTAAGAGGCCATAGGTAGCAAGAGGAGGCCACATTCAGAATGCTAAAGAAAAAAATATGCAACTAGGGACTCAGTATATAGCAAAACTGTCCATCAAATATGACAGAGAAATAAAGATATTCCCAAATAAATACTGAAAGCTCTGTTGTTAATGGCAATATCAATAATTATATTAAATGTGAATAAACTTTTAAAGAGCTGGAGAGATGGCTCAGAGGTTGAGAGGACTGGCTGCTCTTGGAAAGGACCCAGTTTGTTTCCCAGTGTCCACATGGTGGCTCATAGTCACCAGCAAGTGCAGTTCCAAGGGCTCCAACACCCTCTTCTGACCTTTGTGGGTACCAGGAATGAATGTGGTGCTCATACATACTTATAGGCAAAACACTCAAACACATAAAATAAAAATAAATGATTTTTTTCAAAAATACTCCATTAAAAAAAAAAAAACAGAGGTTGTTAGATTGTACTTATTTATTTATTTTGGTTTTTCGGTGTAGGGTTTCTCTGTGGCTTTTAGAGCTCTGTAGGGCGAGCTGTCCTTGACTATCTCTGCCTCCTGAGAACTGGGATTAAAGATGTGTACCACCACCATCTAGTTAGGTTGTAATTTTAAAAGGGAAGACAAAATTACAGTTTCCAGAAGAGACCTTGAGTCAGGGATACATGTAGGCTGACTTTGAGAATGAGCAGAGCCAGAGCCCTTATAAGCTATGGGACACATGTATGCAGGCACTTTGAAAATGGCTCTGGTACTTCATGAAAGGTAAACTGACATTCCTGCAGCACCTATGTACCTAGGAAACCTCAAGAGGAATGAAAATACACATCCACCAAAACCCCATGCATGGTGTTTATACAGGCAAATAATGTAGATGTGCGACTCTCTATGGATGGATAAGCAAAGGTCATATGTATGTATGTGGTAGAATACTACTGAGCCACAACTAGAAATGAGCTGTTAATGTATGCTATAATGCAGATAAGACTTAGAAGTCTTCTGCAAAGTGGAAAAACCAAGTCACAAAGTAATGTATATATTATCCCATCTGTGTGAAATGTCCAGAAAAGGTGAATTTAGGAAAACAGTACTGGTGTTTTTTCATGGGGCAGAAATTTATAACATTTAGATTTAAAGAAGTTGTGGTTTTGTGGGCTGGAAATGAACTAAAGCTAGGTTGTAGTGAGGATTGCAAAATCACTCAGTAATGTACAGAATTTGTTAAAAATTATCACATTGGGGCTGGAGAGATGGTTCAGTGGTTAAGAGAACTGGCTGTTCTTCCAGAGGACCCAGGTTCAACACCCAGCACCCACATGGCTGCTCACACTGTCTGTAACTCTAGTTCTAGGAGATCTGACACCTTCACACATACATACAGGCAAAACACCAATTGCATAAGAAATAAATAGAAATATCTTAAAAAAAACTTTAAAAATCATTTCATTAAAAAAAAAATCACACCTTACATTTCAGTGACAGAGTTTCTTGGCTTGTAAGCCATCCCTAAGAGTTGTAAACCCTGGCACTCATTCTGCCTTTACAATTTGAGAGGTTTGGTATGGTTTTGCCTATTTGACCACTGGTCACTAAGTGTCTCTTTTGCCTTTATTTTTTCAAAACTTGAAGGGAAGTTTATAACTCTTTCCCCAATTCTGGGAGAGGAGGGCAATTTTTAATTGGTTCTTGCAGTTTAGTACTAATCCCATTAGCACCAGAGCAAACATCTCTGCAGTGCTGTAACCTCAGTGTGTAGGTGCCTCATTTGGCTTCTAAATCCTTTCTTACTCTAATTTACTACCAGCCCAAAGCAGTTAGCAACCCTGTAAGATTTAAGACACACCAGGGGATATGATATGATATGATATGATATGATACGATGATATGAAGGTATATAGCTTCTCTTTCAATGGACCCCCTTTTGTACATGATTCTACCATTACTCAACATTTCTTTAAGGAACTATTTGGAGATTGATGGACACAAGGAAGGAAAAATGAATTGGCTGTGTTCAGTGCCTGTCTAAGGCCAGTTATAACTCAGAATAGATAAGGTTGAGTTGGGCAATGATGCCAATCCAGGTAGCAAGGGAGTGGCTGGCACTGGCCCTGAAAGTTATGATTGCCAGGGTAAGGTTGAAGAAAGGAAGAACCTTCCAGAATGAACAGCACAAGCAATAAGGCAGTATGAGCTTGTGGGGAACTGTGAGTTTGATTAGAGGAAGAGTCAGTGGAGGCAAAGAGAAATTAGACAAAAAGTCCTATGACAGAACAAAGAAGCTGTTCTGTAGAGCCGGTTGTGCACCTCTGGATGAGCTGATGATGGTAAATAATGCTTGGGCATGTTACTGTGGAAACAGCTTAGACAGAACTGCGCTTCAAGCATCCAGTCAGGAGGTAATCAATTCAGTGGCAAGAATAAAAAAAAAAAAAAGATGAAAGTCAGTTCTTCCTGAAAATTTGAAGGAAATGTATCATGTGATTGGTATAGGACATGACAAAATAAAGACTAGACCATGTTAGAACAGATGGGAGTAGGTGATGATAGTCAAAGAACACCAATAATGATGGATCCAGAAGAGCATGGATGTCTCCAGGGTTTGTAACTGGAGACGTGGGACACCTGTGGCATGACAGACAGAAGAGGTTACAATGAGACTGCAGGGGGAGAGCTGGTGAAATGTGTGGCAGCCAAATAGCTAAATGGAGCTGCTTTGAATTGAGAACCTGGAGAGGGGTGAGGACTTAGATCATACATCCCAACTGTGAAGGGACGGAAGTGCTCACTGGGAGAGGAAGGATGTGGGAATGAGAGGTCACAGGCAAAACTCGGGAGGCATTCAAACGCAGGGG